CAAATCTCATAGTATTCTGACTCCTCTTAAGTTCCATTGACAACCTGTCCATTTCTGCACATTCCAAAACTTTCTTTATAATCATGAAGTCGGGGGAAGTATTTTCACATTTCCAATTTTGGGCAAAGGCAAGCCTTGCTGCTGTTAATATGTGGAGTATAATATATAATAACATTTTACTATTTTTTTTGTTTTAAAATTCTTAATAAAAATATCTCTGATTTCCATTCAATTTTAACTTTTGTAATTTCTTCTAGCCAATTTCTAATTTTCCGCCAATATTTTTTTTGCTTTTGGGCAGGTCCACCACATATGATACTAGATTCCCAGCTCATAGCCACATTTCCAACAGCTTGCCGAATTATTGGGAAACATTTTTGCAAGTCTCGCTGGCAGTAAATGCCAACAATAAAACAGAATTCCTGAGCTTAACATAACTGGAGGAGGAATTCTGGGAGCTGAAGTCCACAAGTCTTAAAGCTGTCATGTTTGAAGACTCCTGGTTCAAAGTTACAAAGGCATTGAACAATGCAACTTTGCAACCGTTTTTCACAGTTATGACCCTTCGCAGCATCCCTATGATCATGTGATCAACATTCAGTTGCCGGCCAACTGGTTCATATTTATGACGGTTGCTGCGTCGCAAGGTCATGGGATCACCTTTTGTGACCTTCAGACATGGGGAATCCAGATTCACTTAACAACCGGGTTACTAACTTATCCACTGCAGTGATTCTCTTAACCACCGTGGCAAGAAAAGTTGTAAAACGGGGCAAATTTCACTTAACAAAGGTCTCACTTCACAACAGAAATTTTGGGCTCAATTGTGGTCGTAAGGGCTACCTATACAGCAGTGGTGCATTTCAAACATTTTTACCACCGGTTCGGTGGGGGTGGCTTGGTGGGTGTGCTTTGTGCGCTTGTGCGCAAACTTTGTTCATGCACCAAACACGGACTTTGCACAGGCACAGAGGTTTCCCGACTCGCCTCCTGCAATCCTGCACTCTCCCTGTCGCTTCAGCGGCTGCCGTGCGGCAATCTGCCGTGCCGCGCAAAGCAGCGGCGCTTCAAAAGCCGGACATAAAGGTTAGTATGGGAGCCGCATCAGGTGCTCTTATACCCATGTGTGCCTGTTTATCTCTTGCAGTCCAGCTAGAAGCCTAATGGAGCTCTTTTGGATTTGGGAAAGGAGTTTGGTGGGGCACCCTACCTCTTGGAGGGCATTGTGCCCAGGAGAATATCTGCAGCCTGGAATGATAACGTTGCAACATCCCTCTTAAAGGTGGGCTAAACAAAAGCTAAAAATTGGTGCTGTGGCTCAAACCATAGAATTCTCAAGTGCTAGAAGGGAGGGAGGGAGGAAGGAGGAGAAATAATTATGATTTACAGCCAGAGCTTCTGAGGGTCATTCTAGTGCTGTTTTACATCTGCTAAAGCAGCCACTTGACATTTTCCAGTTGAAAGACTGTTATCAGCTCCTGATAGTTGTCCAAGTAAATACAGTCACAAGCCGCTGCCCTTGGTTATAATGTAATACCTTCCAGAAAGGTTGGAACAGGTCCGAGTCTGGGAGAAGTCACTCCAAAAGACTGTTCTCCCCCCTCCCCTCCTCCCTCCCTCTCTCCCCCTCCCCTCCCCCTCTCCCTCCCTCTCCTCCTTCTCTCCCTCTCCATCCCTCTCTGCCTCCCTCTCTCCTTTTCTCTCTCCCCCTCTCCCTCTCCATCCCTTTCCCTTTCTCCCTCCCTCCCTCTCACTCTCCCTCCCTCTCTCTCTCCCTCTCTCTTTCCCTCCCTCTCTTTCTCTCTCTCCCTCTCCCCCTCCCTCCCTCCCTCTCCCTCTCCATCCCTCTCCATCCCTCTCATTCTCCCTCTCTCTGTGTTGTGCATGTAAAGGGCATTTTTAGGTTAGATGTTAGGAGAAATAGGATTCTATAGTGTAAGAGTTCCAATTTAATTGAGAACTATTTTGGGGCAAGAAGTCTCTGAAACGGCATAGATGCCCTAGAAATTTCTGGGTCAGCTCTGAATGTTGCAGTTTGAAATGTTACAACTTGATGCAAAAGAGGAAAGCTTTTGAATACTGTCAAAGAGAATGGACTGAATTACAAATATTCTATATATACTATAAGGGTATCTATTGACACCATTTTCTTTTAAATACCCCATAATCCCTTGCAGGAGTGGAGTCTGGGCAACTGAACAGAGCTGAGTGTTTACTGGCCGGATGCTCTTCTTGTCGCCAATGCAGAGTTTTGTTCAGCAGATATATTCTCAGTGTGCCCAGAGAAATATCTGCCTCTACCTAGGATCGAACTCACAGCCTCCTGATTGTGAAAAGAGAGCTCCACCTCTAGGCCACCACACCACTCATAAGGGTATCTATTATATCCTGTTGTATCTATTATATCCTGGGGGCTGAACTAGAAGATCTCCAGGTCCCTTCCAGCTCTATTCTGATTCTGATCCTGTTGGGCATATCAGCATCAGAAGGATAAATGACATGAATGGTCACCATCCTTTAGCATAAAACAGTACTAATTAAACAAGCCCAATGGATGGATGGATGGATGGATGGTGTAAATAAATCCATCCATATGGACATGTATTAAATGAAATTTGTGTTTTCTAGTGAGTCTTGATACCTTAAACCAAGTTTATCATCTAAAAATCCAGATCCAGATAGAGCCTTTAGCTGACCTTGTTAAAATTTCTTGTGCAAACTCAGCCTCTTGTTCGTGTTTAATCAAGCTGATTCATAGTTGTTGTGGTGAGAATCCAGCCAACTGGATTCAGGAAGTTTCCAAGAAAGTCAGTCATTAACTAGTCCAATGGCCAGTCTGTTCTAATTAAACATTAAAAGAGTTGCCATTCCAGAACCATGGGCAGCGCTCTTATTTATTTTATTGGTTAGAGCCCTAATTCGTCCTGCAGAAATTGAGCAATACTGGCATGATTCAGGTGGTGGGGTCCTCTGAAAAGTTGTATGTGTGGGGTGCATCATTCTGGGGTGACTTTCAATAAGATAATATAACTTTTATTGTTACTTTTTTCTGTGAACAAACTGGCACACATTAAAACACCAGAGGGGAAATAAACTGTCAGAAAATTTCTCCTTATTTCCAGGTTGAATCTCTCCTTGCTCAGTCCATTATTCCTTGTCTGGCCTTCGGGTGCTTTGGAAAATAGCTTGACTCCTTCCTCTCTGTGGCAGCCCCTCAAATATTGGAAGACTGCTATCCTGTCTCCCCTGGTCCTTCTCTTCACTAGACTAACCATGCCCAGTTCCTGTAACCGTTCTTCATATGTTTTAGTCTCCAGTCCCCTAATCCATCCTGGTTGCTCTTCTCTGCACTTTTTCTAGAGTCTCAACATCTTTTTTATAATGTGGTGACCAAAATTGGATGCAGTACTCTAGGTGTGGTCTTACTAAGGCTTTATAGAGTGGTATTAGTACCTCACTTGATCTTTGATACACACACACATGCATACATACATAAGAATAGAAGTAGAGTAGAATGTGTGTATGTGATGTTATGTGTTATGTTATTTTATGTTATATGCTTTATGTTATGTTATTATACACACACCCATATATATTAATCACAGACCATTTAGAATACACAGTGGAAAGTTTGGAAAATCAAGTTTCAGGGCTTCGGGGAGAAGGGACTAAACCTGGCTCGCATCCACGTGGCATCTCCACGACTTCTTCCACTGAAAAACAGCTTCCAAAAGGCAACGTGGAAAGGGGCTGGAGGGGGCGGGCTTAGAACGTCGGTACCTGGCGTTGCCGGGGACGCCTGCGCGGTTGCTAAGGCGTTCGTTGAGGGACCCTTCCCGGATCTGACGCGCAGGCGCGCTGGCACCAGAGGGGAAATAAACAAGAAAAGGGAGCGCGAAGGAGGGAGCGAGATCAGCTGGCGGAAGAAGGCGGGGAAGCGGCTGCCGGCTTCATCCAGGGCAAGATCTGGTGGGTGATCCGGGAAATGAAGCGGTAGTTTATGGAGAGGGGGAAGTTTACGGGTGCATAAATTGGGAGCATCGGATGCATAAATTGGGAGCATCGATCTAGGAGACACATACACACATACATAAAAGAGATCTAGAAGAGATTCGAATTGCTTGATGATCATATCTTGGAACGGGGTTGATTTATTTATTTATATTTGTCAAGCAAGTATTAGATAACAGGTATAAGTATAAGCATGGTTATGAATACATGAAATGGATACGAATCAAAAAGAAACAATAGGATAGGGACGCTTATGCCCGCCCCCTACAGACCTCTTAGGAAAGGGGTGAGGTCAATAGTAGACAGTCTAAGGTTAAAGTTTTTGGGGTTTGGGGAAGAAACCACAGAATCAGGTAGAGTATTCCAGACATTGACCACTCTGTTGCTGAAGTCGTATTTCCTGCAATCAAGTTTGGTGCGGTTTACTTTGAGTTTGTATCTATTGTGTGCTCTTGTGTTGTTATGGTTGAAGTTGAAGTATTCATTGACAGGTAGGATATTGCAATGTATAATTTTATATACTATACTTACAAAGTGCGTGTTTATTTTCGCCAAAAAAAAACCAAAACCAGGCTTTACCTAATGGGACTGGAGTGATTTACTCGGTCTCGATCCGGAGGAGTTTTTATTCCTTTTAAATCTTGGGCAGGGCAGGACTTTTTCTTCTCTCCCCAGAAAACTCCCCTCCATCCATCCACGGTTTGCAGTAGGGGGAGAAGCTAATGGGATTGTAGGGGAAATTCCTAATGGGTTTTCTTTTCTTTTCTTTTCTTTTGCCCAAATTCAAGCCACAAACTTGCAAACTGTAACTGTATGAGGGGTGGGGTGGTGGCGGGGTGGTGGCGGGGTGGAGGGAAGGGACCCTGAAGATTAAAGGATCATGGGCGGTGTAGTCTCTCTGACGACTAGAGGGCGCCCGACAAGATCAAGGTTGACTCTTCTGCCATCTCATCCATTGCAAATCCGAGAAGGGAAAGATTTCAGCGGGAGTGGGGTGGAAAACAAGGCGTCTGAACCGGGGCCCCCGCTTTACTTAAACCGGAGGGCATCGGAGGAGCTCTTTCGTCGCCCTACGCCGAGAAAAGAGGCTGCTGTGCCTTTAAGAGCCGCCCGGTGCGCAAGGCAAGCAGCTCCGGACTGTGAGAAGCTTTTTTTTAAGCGGCTTTGCAATAAAATAAAATAAAATAAGCCAAGCGGGCGCTCTCGCTTTCTCGGCCGCCCTTGCTGGATCTCCACCGGGGCATCCGCCAGAGATGGAGGAGCGACTCAATTGGCCGTGACGTGACGTGACGGGAGTCGCCATTCGCGTGGAATTGTTTTTTTTGCACGGTTTGGAAGACGCGGCATCAAGCGAGGTGATGGACTCGCGCGACAGGCCTCTTTCCCTTCGTTTTGGGCGGGGGGCTCTCGTGGGGTGGGGATGTTTCTAACTGGGTTAGCTTTGGAAGAGAAATCGGAATCCGGTTTGTGGCCGGGTCGGGAAATCGAACCACGGTGTAGTAGTCGATTCTTGCATTCACGCGATGTGGCCTTTACTAGGGAGGGTGGGTTGGGTTCACACAACACATTGAGGTCAAAACGTGGGTGGCCGGTTAGTAGCTTTGTGGTTTGATTAAGATTTGTGACTGAGGGATTTTTCCCGTACAGATAGTCCTTGATTTACAACAGCTCATCTAGTGACCTCTGGAAAAAAAGGGACTTATGAACGGTTTTCACACTTATCATTACCGTGGCTGTGTGATTAAACTTCAGGTGCTTGTCAACTGACTCGTATTTATGACGGTTGCAGTGTCCTGCGGTCATAGGACCATGTTTTGAGACCTTCTGATGGGCAAAGTTGATGGGGAAGCCAGATTCACTTCACCGTTTTAATAATTTAACAGCTGTTGTAAAACGTGGCAAAAAACCTCACTTAACAAATGTCTCGCTTAGCAGCAAAAACGTTGAGCTCAATTGTGGCCGTAATTGGGCACAAAAGGCTTGGATGTCAGCTGACCATGACATTTGAAATTAGAGAGTGATTGAGCCCACATGACTGGTGTGCATGACATGGGTCATATATAATGTATAAGCCCTGAAAAAGTGGGGTAATTGTGTATTGTGGTGTGTGTTTTCAGTTACAGGTAAGTGTAGCACTATCATTACTGTAAGAATTGTTGATAATTAAGTTTAGCTACTGCAGTAGTTAACTTTTGGATTTTCCCATGCCATGTTTCACTCTTCATTAGTCAGATTTTCTTTCTGTTTTTCATCACAGTCATTCTAAAGATTGGCTGACTTTGTCACGCTTCCTTAGGAAACAGGAAGAATAAAAGGTAGCACTACTCGTGGATGTTTGACCTGGTAAATGATTGCTTTTCGGTGACATTTGTAGTGCAAGACTTGTGGGTTGTAATCTGGGAGAAATGACTACTGTCTGGGGGAAAAAGGCACTCAGACTTTTCAGATGTCTCATTTCAAAAACAAGAAGAGAATAAAAAAAGTCCCTCACTTGGAGCCCAGAGCTTGCATGAATAGAACAGAATATCAGAATTGGAAGGGACCTTGGAGGTCTTCTAGTCCAACCCCCTATCTAGGCAGGAAAGCCTACACCACTTCAGACAAATGGTTATCCAACAACATCTTTTTAAAATCTTCCAGTATTGGAGCATTCACAACTTCTGAAGGCAAATTGTTCCACTGATTGATTGTTCTCACTGTCAAGAAATTTCTCCTTAGTTCTAAGTTGCTTCTCTCCTTGATTAGTTTCCACCCACTGCTTCCTATGCTGCCTTCTGGTGCTTTGAAGAATAGCTTGACTCCCTCTTCTTTGTGGCAGCCCCTGAGATATTGGAAGACTGCTATCATGTCTCCCCTGGTCCTTCTTTTCATCAGACTAGACATATCCAGTTCCTGCAAGTGTTTTTTATATATTTTAACCTCCAGTCCCCTAATCCTCTCTGTTGCTTTTCTTTGCACTCTTTCTAGAGTCTCAACATCTTTTTTACATCGTGGCGACCAAAACAGACTAGACATACCCAGTTCCTGAAACCTTTCTTTATATGCATGTTGTTAAGAGGAGGCATAAATGGTGTGCCTACGTAGAATAGTTCATATGCCTTGCGTTAGCCTGTGTGAAACCAACTAATATGCTAATAAATTATGATTTAGCACAGTGGTTCTCAAACTGTGGTCTGGGGGCCATGATGTCATCACAGGGGGCCTGTGAAGGCTTGAAAAAATGGTATGATTTAAACATTGAGTTAAGTCTTGGTGGGCCGTGGCCCCGGTCCATGGCCCCAAAGGGTATTTAAAGGGGAATCCGTGGTAAAGAACCACAGATTTCGTATATGTTGTATAAGCAGTTGTGACTCATTTATTACAAGTATTCCTCAACTTACAACCCCAATTGAGCCCTAAATTTCTGTTGCTAAGCCAGACAGTTGTTAAGTGAGTTTTGCTTCATTTTATGACTTTTCTTGCCACTGTTGTTAAGTGATTTCGCTTGTCAGAAGGTTGCAAAAGCGGAACACATTAATCCCAGGACACCCCAACCCCAACCATCATAAATGTGAATCAGTTGGCAAGTGTCTGAATTGTGGTAACTTTGAATGGTCACTAAACAAACTGTTGTAAGTCGAGGACTACATAGCTTGTGTATTTTGCATATCCAACTTGGCTTAGTTCATTTTTCATACTTCATAATGTGGGGTTTTGTTTTATTATGTTGTGTGAACTGAGTCATGGCGTTTATAAACCAGGATTCCTAGCTTAGAACAAAATATGAACTCTTCCATTCTTAATAGATACATTGGATAGAATGTTGTACGGATAGAAAATAGGGAAACATACTTTTAACAATATTTGTGTAACTAGATTTAGCTATATTTGTGTTTCCTTTTTATCTAGTGCCTTTTCTTTCGCTTAATATTCTTTACTCCTTTTCTGCAGTTCACATAACATTGCTAATGCTGAAAGGGTACTATAGGGTTAGTGTGTGCAAATGATTAAAAATGGGTATTTTTGAGCCCATGCTCAGCTCAGCAGCTTATCATCTTTAGCGGAATTAAACTTTCAGGTGTTTTTTTTTAACCCACAAACCCAGCTTCTTATTATTTCTGTAACTGGAGAGAGTAACTACATCTGTACAGTGTACCTTTCTCTACGTTTAACTTAACCATGCTTATAAGTTTGATTTGCTGGATACACAAAGCCACAATCAAACCTGGATCCCTGCAAACTGTGGTTGAGTTTTACTTCAAGCATGGCATGTGAAATAACCGGCAAAGAATGTCACATTACGATTGCTTATCATTTGGAAGTCAGAAATCCGTTGTTGATCCACTGCAAGTCAGCCAGGTCGAAGATTAGATCTCAGAGTGAATTTTCCCTACCTGTATCCAGTCCAAGGATCATTTCCCTGAATTGACTCCTCAACTTACAACCGCCACTGAGCCCAAATTTTATGCTGCTGAGCGAGAAATTTGTTCAGTGAGTTTCACCCCATTTTACGACTTTTCTTGCCACCTTTGTTAAGTGAATCAATTCACTTGTTAAATTAGTAACGCAGTTGTTAAATGAATCAGGTTTCCCCATTGACTTTGCTTGTCAGAAGGTCGCAAAAGGGGATCCACGTGACCCCCCCAGGACACTGCAACCGTCATAAGTGTGAGTCAGTTGCCAAGCGAACTGAATTTTGATCACATGACCCTGGGGATGCTGCAACGGTCATAAGTCACTTTTTTTAGTGCCGTTGTAACTTTGAACGGTCCCTAAGCGAAGGCTTGTAAGTTGAGAACTACTTGTATTTTGTTTGAAAGTCATATATTAGGAGAGGAAAATTTATGATGGGGTTGGATAGAAGCTTCTATTAGCCAAGCCGGCATAAACAATTCCCAACAGCTTTTCTTAATTGTACCTTAGACATTTGTACTTTTCCTGGACAGATGAAAATAACAAGCTACATATATTTTAGATATTGCTCTGCTGCATTGGCTTTCAGTGCCATCACTTAGTTATATCCCTTTGGGGACTTTCATCTTCCTGCAATTTCTGGCTCTGCATCCTCCTTTCCACTTTTAAAAAAGCACCATAACATTTTGCAACCAGCCAACTCAAAGTCGGTGTTAAACCTGAATGCCTCCCCCCCCCCCCCCGCTCCCCCGAATGCCATCACTCTGTTAAACAAATAATTCGCTCAACACCGTCAAACTATTTACTAAGTCTGCATTACCATTACTATTACTATTACTATTACTATTACTCCTCCCACCCTTCCTTTCATCCATCTCCTCCCACTTATGACTGTATGACTAACTTTGTTGCTTGTATCCTTACAATTTATATTGACTGTTTCCTACTATGGTTTGATTGCTTACTGTACCCTATGACTATCATGAATGGAGCTTTGGTTAGAGTGCAGTACTGCGCGCTATTCCCACTGCAGTTTGGCAGATCGAATCCCACCAGCCTCAAGGCTGACTCAGCCTTCCATCCTTCCGAGGTGGGTAAAATGAGGACCCAGATTGTTGGGGGGCAATGGGCTGACTCTGTAAACCGCTTAGAGAGGGCTGTAAAGCACTGTGAAGCGATATATAAGTCTAAGTGCTATTGCTAAGTGCTATATGCACCAAGACAAATTCCTTGTGCGCCCAATCACACTTGGCCAATAAAGAATTCTACGTGTGATGACCTGGGAAGCAGCACGCATGTAATAAATTCCCGAACATAAATAAATTTCCTTTAATGCCTCCAACTTGGCCTCACTGTTCACTTAAATAAAAAACCAAAACAAACCACACGGAAGGAATTTCCATGACAGACCAGGATAATTAATTACAAACTTCAAGAAGATAACAAGGCACAGTCAGTTGGAAGGACGGCAATCAAGATAAACCTCAGCCAGAAATAAACACGCTTTGCTTCTAGCAACACTGTATTTTAAATGCCTCTCCTTTATACTATTCCCCCCCAGCTGCAGCCAATGAGTGGGATCATGACCGCTTCCTCTCCTGTAAGTCTCTCCCTTATCCTCTCCTCCCTGAATGCCCTAGGATGGAGAGGGGATGGGCCTGGGTCTTCCTCTGACTGCCCAGCCGGCCTCTGCCCTTTCACAACCTCCGGAGCCACACTTCCACGCCCTGTCAGCTGTTCCTCTTCTCCCTCGGAGTCTCCAACGCATGACACTATGTTATGCTATGCTATGCTGTGCTGTGCTGTGCTGTGCTATGCTATGCTATGCTATGCTATGCTATGCTATGCTATGCTATGCTGTGCTATGCGGGAGACCCTACACCATTTCTGACAGATGGGAGCCCAATCTCTTCTTGAAAGTCTAAGTGATGAAGCTCCCACAACTTCCGAGGGCAAGCTGTTC